GTGGGGTTTGCACATTCTCCCCGTGTCTGCGTGGGTTTCCTCCGGGTGTTCCGGCTTCCTCCCACAGTCCAAAGATGTGCAGGTTAGGGTGGATTGGCCGTGCTAAATTGCCCCATAGTGCCCAGGGATGTGCAGGTTAGGATGGATTGGCCGTGCTAAATTGTCCCATAGTGCCCAGGGATGTGCAGGTTAGGGTGGGTTGGCCGTGCTAAACTATCCCATAGTGCCCAGGGATGTGCAGGTTAGGGTGGATTGGCCATGCTAAATTGTCCCATAGTGTCCAGGGATGTGTAGGTTAGGGTGGATTGGCCATGCTAAATTGTCCCATAGTGCCCAGGGATGTGTTGGTTAGGTGTATTAGCCATGGGGAGTGCAGGGTTACAGGGATAAGGTAGGGCAGGGAGGCTGAGAGTGATGCTCTTTCAGAGAGTCAGTGTGAGCTTGTTGGGTTGAATGGCCTGTTACCACACTTTAGGGATTCTCTGAAACTAAACTGCCCGTGGCCCATATCCCTCCAAACCTTTCCCATTCATGTTCTTATCCAAATTCTTATAAATATAGTTAGAACTCTGTAATCGTATGAGCAAACTGGAGCCCTGTGTTTTGTTTTTTATCCGTTCGGAAGAATTTTGCCTTATATAAGGTCAGCTGAGTCAGTCCAGATATTGGCCCAAAGCTTGGATTTCTGTCTGATTTATCGCTGGCTGGTTACTTAACACATAGAAACTGATTTATGAATTTACAAATTATGCTTTGACTCTGTCTCATTGTGTTGCCAGTTCACCACCTAAAGCTAGGACAGCTGTGAAATATTTCCTATTTTAGAGTGCTGAACTTTCTTTCTCATGGTTCATGTGTGTTGAATGAACTTCCAGAGGAAGTGGTGGGTGCGGGCACAGTTACAAAGTTTAAAAGATATTTGGATAAGTACATGAATAGGGAAAGGTTTGGAGGAATATGGGCCAGGAGCAGGCAGGTGGGACTAGTTTAGTTTGGGATTATGGTCGGCACGGACTGGTTGGGCCGAAGGGTCTGCTTCCGTGCTGTATGATCTCTCTCCTCTCACCTTAAAAGTGTGACCCCTAGCCTTGAAATCTCCTGTCCTAGGGGAAAAGACACCTACCATTAACCCTATCTATACCCCTCATGATTTTATAAACCTCTATGAAGGTTGTCTCTCAACCTCCTACGCTCCATTGAAAGAAGTCCCAGCCTATCCTTGAAACTCGAACCTTCCATGTTGGTAAATCTCTTCTGTACCCTCTCCAGTTTGAAAACTGGGAGTGAGCGCGATCGATCAGGGAGGGATTAGGAGCTCCTGATCTGTTTCCTGCACATTTCGGGGGCAGTCCCTGATAACCTTCACGACCTCCTCCCCAAACTCCCTCCCTCATTTCTCGATCACCCTTCTTGAAAAAGGTGACAGAGGCTTGAATAGTTTTCCCCCATGTAGTCGGATGGATTATCTCTGTTTTAACCCCTTAACTCCCAGTGACTCAAGGCTCTGGAGTGAAACCTTCGGGATATCCGATGAGATTCCTTGTTGGAGTCTGATTGAATCCCGAATTGGCCGCTCTCCTCTCTGACCCACAGAGCTACAGCCAGGCTGAGAGGGTTTTAAAAATCCCAGTGAATGATTTATTAAAACAGGAAACTTGGGAGACAGCCTTGTTGAACAACGTCATCCATTCATCCCAACAAATCCTTGAGCAGTGATCTCACCTCAGGACTGGGAGGGCAGTCATATGGTCACAAAGCACAGGAACAGACCCTTCGGTCCAACCCGTCCGTGCTGACCAGATACCCTAAATTAATCTAGTCTCATTTGCCAGCATTTGGCCCATATCCCTCTAAACCCTTCCCTATTCATGTACCCATCCAGATGCCTTTTAAATGCTGTAATTGTACCAGCTTCCACCACTTCCTCTGGCAGCTCGTTCCAGACACGCACCACCCTCTGTGTGAAAAAGTTACCCCTCAGGTCCCTTTTAAATTTTTCGCCTCTCACCTTAAAACAATACCCTCTTGTCTTAGACTCTCCTACCTTGGGAAAAAGACCTTAGCTATTCACCCTATCCATGCTTCTCATGATTTTATAAATTTCTGTAAGGTCATCCCTCAGCCTCCGATTCACCAAGAAAAAAACCCACAGCCTATTCAGCCTCTCACTATAACTCAAAGCCTCCAGTCCCGGCAATGTCCTTGTAAGTTCTTTCTGCATCTTCTCAAGTTTAACAACATCCTTCCTATAGAAGGGCATTAGAATTGTACACAGTATTCTAAATATGGCCTCACCAATGACCTGTACTGATGCAACATGGCTTTCCAACTCCTATCTCATGTTCTGACCCATGAAGACAAGTGTGCCAAATGCCTTCTTCACCACCCTGTCTACCTG